GATTGACGGTGAACTGACACGCACACATAGACAACATGTTTTCTATTTCGTGTCACATGCACTAACACAATCATGCGTAGTTCATGTATACAACATTGGAACCTGTTTTCGGCCGACTGCGCAGTCCAGTGTGCGTTCGAGTGGTGGACTGCTCAGTCCGACTGAGCAGGCTAGTGTGCTCAGGCCCAATAAGAGTTATTTTGCATTTTTTACGTTGGCTGGAAGCTCGATAACGCGTAATTCAAGGAATCTCCAAAATGAAGAAATGTTATTGTTAAGAACTAAATTGACCCGATTAACAATTAATTTGCTTGGCCACTTCAATATCGGTCAGATTACCAACCATTCGGCTGACTTGGACAAAGATAATCCGCTACCCAGGTACCCGGATAAATATCGATGGCTGAGTGGAAGATCGACCTATCTCGGCAGCCAGTTCGAAAACGCTCTATCTCAAAAAACTTTTCACGATAACTAAAATAACTTATCTCCATTTGAAAATTGAAATTGAAAATTTTTAACTGAAAAGCAATATGTTGAAAACATTTTGAAATCGGAATAAAATTACGTCCACTTCCTAAATAACGGTAACTTTCAGAAATACGTAAACTATAATTCAATAATAAATATGGACGTTAATTTACTCCAAGTTGATATTTACAACAATATCTTAACCAGAAATAAGAAGAACTTTTGCGTAAGTCATATGACTTACGGTTTCGAAGTTATATTTTTGAAATCCGAGGAAAACCCCAGCTTTTCATGCAGTTTACAGAAAGGTGAAAAAACTCTACATTTATTAGGTGTGCCGGATATATTAAGTTCGGTTTCGCCCGAACTTATACTTCTTTACTTGTTAAATTATATACTATGTTTAGCAGCTAAGTTTACATTTTAACGGGTCCTGTTCTGTCGAAAAAAGTTATCCGACAGACCTTATTAAGTACATTCATTTTGTACGAATTATCGCAAAGAGGTGGACTCTATTACAAGCTTTCTCAATTTCCAACTTATTGGGCTTCGAGCCTTCGGGTCGTCGACATTCAAAATTTTTTCGAAATCCCATGATTTCACCTTTATTGTCCTCAGTTGAAATACCATTTTAATATCCTGCCTTTTGCCAATGTAAAAATATTATTTACTTAGATATTTCTTCACTCACTCTCGTCCGAAAATCTTCGTTCACGTAACTTAATTTTATTTTTAATTAAGATATAGAAAATGTCCCTTAGAGCCAGGCGAAGACTCTAGCGATGCTGGTCAATTTCTGTGAATCCCGTAACTTTTGGGGGGGCATCCTTACAACTCTACTCTGTGCGCCCAATTTTCACGCCTATTCTGTACGACTACCTCTCGTACATAACCCAGTAAATTACCGTATTACATTTCATTAACTGTAGTCCCTTTAGGCAAGTAATCAACTTTTAAATTTCGACGCTATCCAAGAAAATGGCAGCCATATTCTTTGACGAGTGCTTTTCCACTTTGAATTTCTTCCTCACTGCTTGGGTTTCAGATCATAGTAACGAGTCCAGGGTGGCGATTGCCTATCGCATGGCATTTCTCTTTGGCATCGCATTACAGAGTAGCGCCCTAGGTTTTAAACTGTTGTAAACGGTCACTATGCGGTTGCAAATTTCGTTCAAATCACTCTGACACAACCCTGAGACCCTCTCGGCTACGGTCCAAATATAAGACGATTTCTAAGACATTGTGCTTAGTCAGTTCCCAATATGTTGGTCGGAAAAAAAGAAAACTTTTGGACAGTGATTGGCCAAAAAGAAATATTTTTAAGGCAATTCGAAAATTCCGGTTCAGACATAGTATTCTTTCGGTAAAAATCAAAAGCCCGCGCGGAAAATGTGGCAAGATAGAGCTAAGCAGAACGTGCAGCGTCTGCACACAAGTAAGTAAGGCTGCAAGTAGACGTCCGTCTTGGAGCTACCGGCTTGCTTTATATCAAGTTGTAGGCAGGAGTTGGAGTCCCTCCCCAAATACATTTGTCATTCCCTCCATCGAGCAAACTTAAAAATTCAGCCACCATTGCAATACGTTCTATAACGGACTAAGACTGATCGGTATCGAAACATGCTAAACTGTGGCACCACATAAGATAGAACTCTAGCAGATATAAAAAACTTCAAAACTAGACTAGGCGCTTCCTTAAGACTAGGATGAACAAAAAAGGTACAATCAGAGAGTTTGGCAAATCCAAATAAATTTGTTTGTTAAGGACTTTAACTGTTAAACAAACTACCCGAAGCTGGTGGTTTTGACGCTTATTGCGCTGCGCAAACAATCCGTTATACTAAGGGTTTTGTACACAGCTTTGCAAAAGGGTGAACCCGTAAGCATTTTCTACCCCATTTCGAAATCAGTTGAGAACGCGTCATGGCGCCAGTTCCTCTTAGCTTCTTCGTTGTCATGGGTTTAACTATTATGGTTACCAAATCAAATACCATTTTCAAACGCTGCAACTGTTTCCACAAAACTGCAGTTACCATTTAGTCGTGTTCGACGGTTGTACCACTTTGCTCTCGCTTATCCTTGCCGCTAATAAATAATGTCCAATCACTACTACAATGACCTTTGGCACCAGGCGCAGCACGAAGTTGATCTTTTAGCAATCGCCGATGAGCAGCAGGGACAGAATTTCGAGACTGCGCTCGCCGCTCTGGCTTCGGCCCTGCCGGATGTAGAAGCAGTGACCGACCCAAAAAAGCTTATTCAGTCTACTGTCTATGAGTTCTATTTACGCTATATCGGCATCGCTAATCGTCTGGAGGAAGTTTACGACAAAATGATACAACCACAGAAGCGACTCTTGGTGCGCAAGCTACTCGACGCGTGCTTGGGGCGCGTTATTGAGCTTAAACATGATCTGGTCAATATCGATTTAATGGAGTTCAATTACAACGACGCGGTTGTTATACGGCTGCAACTAACGCCCATGGATACTGAGCTGCATATACCGCGCTACTTTCTACGCGAACGACAACAAGAAATCGAGCAACGCAATCGTACCATGCACGAAATACTCATCAAGCTGGGTTGGTTAGAAGAGCATCCGAGTGAAGAGAAGCTAAGTGAAATCGAGGCTATACGTCTCTTGCAGATGCATGAGCGCGCGCGCCAGGGAAGGTTACGAGCGCATTTCATGAAAGAGATACGCATGCTGAAGGATAAGGGCAAGGCAGAGGAGAAAGGCAAGGAGCGCAGCGATATGGGTCTCTTGGCCGCCATGAAGATACAGAAGGTGTGGCGCGGCCATACCGCGCGCCGCATCACGCGCAGACGAAAGCAAGAAGAAATGATTTTGATCGGCATGGTGCCGCCTACCGCGGCGATGCTAAAGAGACGTGCCGAAAAGGAGGACAAGCTAAATAAGGTAGTTGTTAGTGGTAGTGAACTTATCACAGCTCAAGTTACCCTATATTTGTTTATTTGCTTTCACGTAGATTTACGAGCGTCGCTATGCAACACAAGCGGCCTACAAACAGAAACTGGAATCATCCGTAGTAGCTGTGCGCGCGGACATAAAGTCCAAGCAGGGTGCTACAATAACCGAGGACATAACCGATGAGTTACGCGCCTGGATCAAGGATTGTTACGAGAAAACGGGCAAATTGCCAGAATTTCCGAGCGAGGACCAAGGCGGTTCGCTGCATATCTTCAGTCGGCCAGGTATGATATGTTTATCTTTCTGCAACCTCAACAGGCGTTTAGTGGAGATCCAATTTCTAATTTTCATTTTATTAATTTTTAGGCACTGAAAGCGAGCTGAGCCGCTCTTCAGCGCGCTCCTCAAAGGAGTCGCGCAAGACCAAGGACAAATCAAAATCGCCAGCGCGTAGCGGGGACTTGAACGTTTTGGATAACCAGGCGGAAGGGGAAAATTTTCAACCTGGCCAAACTGTGCTTCTCGCTGATATCAAAACGGCAATTGAAGAGTAAGTCGCGCATGGAAAAAAAACACGGTTATCACAAACGAGATCCTAAACAGACTGAGTTTGTCTAAGGAAAAAAGAAATGCTTACTTTTTTAGTCTTAATTAATTAATTATTTAGATTTTTTATTAGACGTATTAGACGTAGACAGATATTGTCGGTCGTATGGAAAAGTAGCTTATGTCGAAATGCTGGCTTTAGTATAAATCGGCATTCGCAGCATACGATTGCGAATAACTTACTGGCGCTGAGCCATTGAACAACTTTTGGCAAATAAACGTGCAAGAAATAGTTCCGATAGTCAATATTCTTATTAAATTCCATCAAAAAAACCTTGTCATTCAAAGAATAAAGGGAATGCCGCATTATACTAAGCCTTTCGACATAAGCTACTTTTGCATACAAACACAGACATCTGCATATCCACCTATATCTAGATTCAATGAAGTCTGGCGTAACAAAGACGAAGCCGGCAACCTGGCTCAAGCGCAGTACGATGACATGATATACAATGAAAAATATCTGGAGGTAGAGCACGAGTGTCGACGCGCCGTGGACGAATTAATGCGTCAAGAGCTGGAATTGTTGCAGGTAAAAAAGCCATAAAATTAGCTTTTTCAGCAGCTTTTTACTTCATGCTTATCCTTTAGTCCGCCATCGGCAAAAAGATCAAGAAGAGTAGCAAGAAAACACGCCGATCCGGTAAGAAAAGCAAGAAGAAGAAAGAAAAAGATCTTACACCCGATCGTACAACTGAATCACTCTACGAGGAGCTTGTCACCAATGGCATTATACGCAAGTATCCAGAAGTGCGTCTAAGTCAATATATTGGCGACAAGGCGTTGAGCGAACGTTCTGGCACTAATCCATCGGCTGGTGACATCCGTCAGCTTCTCATCGAGTACTGCATTTTACCACTCGGCTCTGAAGCCATACGTAATTCATGCCCACTTATACGCTCAATACTGCTCGCCGGTCCGCGTGGTTCGGGCAAAAAGGCCTTGCTGCACGCTATTTGCACTGAAGTGGGCGCTGTACTATTTGACCTAACACCTGCTAATATTGTTGGAAAATATCCGGGGAAATCTGGTCTCATAATGCTTATACATTTGGTTTCCAAAGTATCGCGTCTTCTGCAGCCTGCAGTCATATATATGGGCGATGCAGAGCGACCATTTATGAAGAAGGTGCCGAAGACAGATCGCACTGATCCGAAACGCTTGAAGAAAGATTTACCACGACTGATTAAGAATATAGCGCCGGAGGACCGTGTCCTCTTCATAGGAACTTCCAACTTACCCTGGGAAGCGGATCAAAAACTTTTTCAGCAAACTTATAATCGCTTCATTTATATACCCAGACCGGATTATGGCGTACGATCGAGCGCATGGAAAGCATTGGCTAAGTATGTACAAGCGCGTATTTGACTTGTTAATAAGGATATGTATGTATATATGTAGGTATTACTTGTTTTTTTCTGAATTTCAGTGAATATACTGGTGGCTTGTCCAATTTGGACTACAGTGTAATGGCGAAAATTTCTGATGGCTACACTATCGGCTCTATTGATTCGTGTTTGAAAGAAGTATTGACATGTAAGCGTAAGCTACAGCTGCGGACACAGCCATTGACTCATGCAGAGCTTATAAACGCATTAAGGTACATAATCAAACACTTATGAAACCACTGAACCATTTGTTCCGCGATGCCTACGCATATTTTATTCCTTGACTTGTTAACTTATTCAAAATTTGTGCTACCTACTTTATTTCAGCACTCGAGATCCGGTTTATCGCGAGGAGGAAGAAGCATTTGATTCCTGGTGGTCTAAAACGCCACTCGGACGAAGGTATGAACGTGCACTAGAAATGGAGGAGGAAGCGCGTTTGGAAGAAGAGGAGAAAAATGCCAAGCAGAGCAGTAACGGCAAGAAAAAGTAAAGGAGAATTTGAGAAACTCCAAACACACTAATAAGGCATCATATTTATACAGAGATGTATTGACTTGTAACGCTGCAAATATTTACGAATAAATACATTGAAAAATTTTTGTCTACCTTCACTTAAGCTTAAACACGAATTCCTTATTACCGCTCTTGCAAATAATTTCTTGAATAAATAAACTAAATGCTTTGCTTTCACCCAATGACACATTGATTGCTGATTTCAATGTGTCCAGATTTTCATTCAAAACTGAGACCTTATCGCCTAGACACCACAGAAAACTGATGTGGAACGATGGGTCCTACGAAAAGAAAATGCTATTACTAATTATCGGCGCATTTGAACAATGACTTACTTCATAGAAGCGTTGTAACCTGTATTCTGTCATTACACCGTCCACTTTCGTCATGAGCTGATGCATTTTATCAAAGTGCATCTCATCCACTTTAAATGCTATAAAAGTGCGGGTTCGCTCTTCATTCGTGTAGATGTGTAAGCGCCTCAAGCTAATGGAAAAGCTTTTTGGAAATTAAATTGCATTAGAATGTGTTATTTCCAATTTTTCATATAGAATGCCTATTAGTTACCTGGCGGTGACTTCCAGCTTATTCCGCAAGGACTCAACAAATGAATCAATGTGATGATATTGCAACACAACAGTTCGACTCAAACTTATGTGCAAATCTTCTATTGTGTGTAAATCGTGCAGCACATCGGCCAATGCTTCTTTGCTTACTTCCTGCACATCTTCCAACTGCTCTGAATGTGCTAGTCAAATTACAAAGTAATTAAATTCTATGGTACTGTACATTCCTGAATACCTGCTATGTACACATACGTCGCCCAATTGCCACGTTCGTGTTTGAAACTACGCACTCGTCCATCGTGCTCTGCTGGATCATCTAAGTGGTCTGCACTTGTTGTTAATGCCGCCCGTTTTGCGCCCAATAATGAAAGCGCATCTGGCAAAGTTCTGTGGAGAGCAAGACATATAAATACATATAAACAAAATAAAACCAATTTCACTGTAAACATACCTCTTCAGCGCTGGGCGTTCACGAATTCTCGTAACTATTGGCGTTGGCTCTGCGATTTTACCTGGCAATAACGCTGGATTGGTGTCGCATTTGTCCGATTCATCATTGCTATCATCAGAGGAACAACTACTACCATAATTCACTAAAGCCATAGTATTGAGCGAATCCTGAAACAAATCGTTAAAGCTTCTTTTATCTAGCGTAGTCGCCTTTAGAGCGCGGATGTATACTTACTTTGGATTTCAATTTAGCATGTTGAATACTTACGTTCCGCTGGAATTTTGCTGTTGGATATTTTTTACTTGAAAATTTTAAACGAACGTACCTTTTACAAATAATTAATTATTTCTTGAATAATTGAACTGCATGCCGATTTGTTTTGTTTACGAAATAGTAGCGCAAAAGGGAAACAAGAATATTATGTTTTTCCCCAACTGTTTTCCAGCACTGATTTTACAAAATTCGCTCACTTTCACTAGTATCTCTCTAAATTTTGATCAAAATCAGCTGATTGCGGTCCGTTCATAACCTAGTGAAATTTGCAGTGCTCATTCATTCATTCACATGCAATTGCAATTCGTGTTTTAATTTGTTAATTTCGAAGTTAATAATTATCAAATTTTTATATATATACCTTCCAATTGTAAATACATTTCCGGCAAAGTGGCGTGTATAAATCAAATTGAAATATGCATTTAGGTGGTGTTTTATATGTCTATAAAGGAGAATGGGGTCTGCCGTCCATCGACTTCGATTGCCTACGAGCGTTGGTAAGAAAAATTACAGCGGAGCTGATCAGACATATGTATCTTTCAAAGAAGAAAAAGTTGCATCATACTGAACGTTTATTAGTGACATTGCGCTAAATTTTAAAGCATATGTATCTCTTTTATCAAATTGATTTTTGGTATGAGTACAAATTGTTTTGCATATTACCAAACTATGATCTATATACATGCATATTTACATTTATTAATAAACGGTTTTTATTTTTTTATTCAGTGTCTGGTTAAATTTACGCGCTGCCCTCTACAAATCGACACGAATGCCAATCCCATGCGCTCTAGCACGGGGAAACTACCTTACCTCCAAATTGGCAATAAAAGATTCTGTGGATACAGACAAATCAAGAAAGTGCTAGACAAAGAGGTGAGTAGACAGTTCATAAGACTGTTAAGTAGCTGTGTACATGAACATTTAGTGGCAGGATAGACTGCCTGGCGCCAAAACAATTCCGAAACGAAGTTGTGTGCCAATAACACTTGAATGTTTTCCTGCATATTTTAATACAATTCACAAAGTTATAACAGAAGCAATTTATTATAAATAAATAAGTTTACCTTGCCAATATACTATACATACTTATGTATGTACATATATGAATATGTATACCAAGATATATGCATGAGCGTTCTTAACTTTTAATAAGGCAACCTCTGTATCGCGATTTCATTTTAAGTACGCACGTTCAATGATCCCTAAAAGCTGCTGACTTTTTTACTCTTGTTGGATTGCTAATAATAGAAGTACACACATTCCGTTTAAAATAAGTTGCACTGTTTACAGTAAAATCCTGTTAAGTCGCACCAATCAAAAATATAAATCGGCATTAAATTGAAATGTTACTAAATTGCGTATTATATACATATTTATTATTTAATTACAGGGTTATCCAGTCGATGCTCATCTACAAGAAGAACACAAACTACTTTCACCCGCATATGCCAATTGGGTATTCACTAATCTTCATTCATACTATCATTATTTTATGTATGGCGAACCAAACAACTTCGATACCACACGCAGTCTATATGCAAAACGTACAACGTTCCCGTTTAATTTCTTCTACCCAAGCAGTTATCAGCGGGAGGCGTGTGACATTGTCATGGTAATGGGCGGTTTTGATCCGCGTGATAAGCTCGAAAATCATGACCGTGACTATGTAAGTGTTACATACATATATCGTTTTTTCTTTTCGTTAGATAAAAGATAAAACTTTCTTTTTTTAAATCTATATTTTCAAAGCTCACCACGAATGCCAAAAAATGTGTCAATCTCTTATCAAAAAAGTTGGGGAGAAAAGTATGGTTCTTTGGCGATTTCTTCAGTGAATTCGATGCTATTGTTTATTCGTACTTAGCTATTCTTTTTAAAGTAACACTGCCCAATAATCCACTACAAAATCACATAAAAGGCTGTCAGAACTTAGTGAATTTCATCAATCGTATAACAAAAGACATCTTCAGAAATGAGGGTTTCAATTCACTCAAAACCCTAAGAAGTCAGTCATCCAATGACCCATTACTAACAGCTACTGAGCGACATTTCTTGGAGTCTGAGAAGAAGACAAAAATCTTGGCTGCAATTGGCGCCGTCGTTGCAATGGGTACTTTTGCTGCTTGGCGTGGTGTCTACAAACAGGTTTGTTAATTGATAATTATAAAACATGCATGCATATTTAATCAGATGCATTTTTAACTAATATTGCAATGTATAGTCATCGCAATCATATAGCCCACCGACCGATTTGGATCCATTTTAAAAGAATATATAATTTAAAATGCCTTGCATGTAATAAATTAAGAATTTTCACTTCATCAATCAATATTTGTTTTTAACTATTCGTTAAGTTTTGGGAATAGTTATAAAATTGGAAGGTAATGAATAGTAATTATAAAGTTAACTATACAATTATAAACGTCAAAATATGCATATATGTATGTACACTCCCAATTATTTGAATAGCACACCCTTTTGATCCTCAGTATGTACATATGTACAGTGTTCATTTTTCATTTTGTTTGTTTAATATTCACTAATTTTTAAAAAACTTAAAAAAAAGGAGCAGATTATCAATTCGTCGGAATATTTTTGCACTTTGGACCAAGTTAACCGACATACATATATAATTCTTTTTTTTTTTTGTAAAGAAAAGGCGGTACCTCAGAGGTGGTCCCATGCTAATTTGGTTTAGATCCGTTCATTGGATCATGAAGAAATAATTTTTTTTTTTTTTTTTTTTTATAAAAATGTAGCATATTCTACGTGTAAATTCGGTTTAAAAATTTTATAGAAATTTAAAAAACATGTCAACAAACCTACGTACCCGAAATTTTTTTTAAATATTATTAACTTATGCACTGCAGGTCACTAGCCTAACACTCCCCCTTGTTGATGTTTTTTAAATTTGTATAAAATTTTAAAATCGGATTCACACGTACTACGTGCTACATTTTTATAAAAAATTAATGAATATTAAACAAACAAAAGGAGACTGTACATGCTGAGGATCAAACGGGCGTGCTATTCAAATGACTGGGAGTGTACATACATATGTAGAAGTGCTAATATGTTTTTGCTTATTGAAAAGCAAATAACATGAAAGTTACCTCTTCAGAGAATATTTCTACGTTTACACCTCACAACCACCAAATCCTCTTTTCAAATGCCTATTGTGTGTTTTTCGACATTTTATTTATTTTTAGTTCTCCAGTTCGAGACGTTATTACAATGATTTGGTGTATGAAGATGATGAAGCGTTAGAAGACGATGAAATGGATTAACTACCAAAAAAGAAAAAGGACGTCCATCTTTCGTAAAAGAACAAAGCGTGGAACGTTCGGATGCTTTGAAAATAATATTCTTAGTTAGAAATATACAAGGAGCTCATTATGCCGAAAATCCAAGACAAAGGTTCCAGTCTACAGCTAGAAGCTAGTTTAAGCATCATTAGGATTTCGTTTATCCAAAGGAAAAAAAAATTATAAAAGCATAAATAAATAATTTGGAAATTAAGACAAAGCTTTGAAAAAACTGTGGATGTAAGAATTTGAAAAATTAATTACAAGGATGTTTCACGGTGTTTCCAACCGATTTTACGCAGAATAAAAAACACAATTTAATTTGTATAAAAAAAAAATGTATTAAGACGCTACAGTTATTTGAAGACATGATTCAAGCATTTATGCATATCGTCGTTTAAAGTACAAAACCGCGTATCGTCATTCTGCAAAACCGCATAACTGAAATTTGCTGCCAAAAATTGGATATGCTCACACAAGCTCTTGGCTCAATCCTTATCCATTCGTCCAGAAATATACTAGCCAGAATTTCGATTGCTTTATAACAAAGAGAACCATTTTGAAATATGAGTATTTTTACTCTCTAGAAAATAAATACGCGGGTTTGTACTTTAAACGACGATATATGTACATAAACGCATACCTTAAAATTAACTAAATTTCTTAGTAGCAAAAGGTTAGATTTCAGTTATGTAAATATGCTAACAAAAGATGAACTTAATATAATTATAGTTTAAGTTTTAAGAGCATCTTGGAGCTTTCTTCTAGCCGCATTAACCCGATCCTCTTGGCGCCGTATATCGTCTTCTGACACTAGAACAGCTTGCATTAGTGGTTGTTCTGGATTCAAAAATGCCGGAGCATTTTTATTCATCTCAGTCTTTGTGGAGGCTTGTCCCATAACAGGCACGTTGAGCACATGCAATGCGGTAGCCAACGATTGCAGTACAGTCTGCTCACTAACATTTGGACCAATGGTGCGTATACTTTTTGGCAAAACGATATCTTCGAATTCTTCGCCGGTAGGATGACATGCGCGCAAACCCTCTAATCGTTTCTCCCAGAACATTTGCTTTGGTTTCTCCTGGCCACTTGTCTGTTTGGTGTTATCATTTCGAACCTTTGTATGCTCATGATTACGTACTACAGTTACTGGTTGTTTAAAAATTGACGCGGTCTGACGTATAGGCGGCACCAGTGAAGCGTCTGTGCGTGGGGCGCGACTATGACAGAAATATGTAAAAGGATATGGTTAATTATAAAGGTGGTACGGTATAGTTTTAGGAAACATCTTAACACATAAATGGCCAATAAATGCTCATCGATGAGACAAAACTATGTGCATGCAAGTGAGAAAAGCACCAAAAGTCTGGAAAAAATAAAATACAACACAGACAGATGTGGTAATTTAGCACTTGGCTGGACAGACGTATTTCGGTGTAACATTGATAGCCAATAAATGCCAATTTATCATAATTTTTCGCCATTTTCCAATTTAGTTTTCGTTTTTTTTTTTATCTAGCCATAATCTGTCATCTTATGCTGCAGTTGTTTCAATTGAAGATGTCATATTTACCAGAACAAAAGCAAATCAAGAGCATGCAACAGCATTATGATTACCGTAATTACATATGTACATATGTACTAGATTTTTCCTCTATTTTTAACAATAACTTGAACACGTTAATATTTTTGTATATTCGTCATCAAATCAAATAAAAACAAAAGATTAATTTTGCCATTCTACCTGAATTCTAATTGCTGACGAGAACTCGCAGCCGATGTAGTTGCAACGCCAGATGCGCTTGACGGGGCACAGCTGCTACTAATGGCAGTCGTATGTATGCCTTGTATACCATGGGTCTGTGATTGATTCTGAGTTTGTGATTGGGATTGGGATTGCGCCTTGTATCTGCGCTTTAATGCATTTAGCGTATTTGATGTGGTTGTTGAAGTTGGTGGTTGTAGTATGTTGGCATTTGTAGTACTAGGTAATTGTGAAGAAGATGAGGAGGAACACACGTATAGGGATGTAGTGCTACTAGCACTGCAGTGTGGGGGTGGTGGTGGCATTGATGTACTGCCACTACCACTACCACTACTGCTACTATTTGTTACACTCGAACAACGGAATAACGAAATCGATGGCGGTGGCAAGTGGCGCACGAATTTGCCGCTCTGAAAATCGAACGCACCAATGTCGATCGCATCACCAAGGTAACGCGCCAACTGTGGCTTACTTTCGATTTTCTTTCCGGTTGGGCTGGACGCCAGCGAAATAATTAGATAGTTTAAGCAGGGACATAGTGGTAATTTGTGGGAATATGCGAAATACGTGCAGGATTTGTGTTCATTTAAATTTTTAGTGTATCAGTTGAACGCATTTTTTGTGTTAGTGTGAGGGCGCAGAGGGACAGTGCGTGCGGCGTACAAGTGAATATGAGCGGTAAGGTAAGGGTGTTGGGAGATGGAAGTACATGACAAATTAGATACAATACATTATTTTAGACTATTTTTTTACTTAATTTGATGCTATATAATTATTAAGCGTTACCTGTAGTAGTATACATCAACTTTACCAGCCGATATACCAGACTTACGGAGCACTTCTTCCCGCTGCCATCCTTTCGGCAACGAATTGCAATCAACACGCTTACGTTCAATTGTTATGCTGGAATTCATTGCAATTCGAACGTTTTTAATGAGCGAAACTATATTTTTCTAGGCTGGTCAACCACTCAAGAAAGCGTCTGCGAAAAATTTGTTGAAGTTGTCAAAGTTTTTTTTTAATTTTTGTGTTTTGCTCTCTATGGTTAAATACACAGAGCGAAAATCGGGTGAAGGTGGCTGTTCTTGCGGAACACAGAGTGTCTCTTGTACAAAGCAATTTTTGTTTATGAGGCTAAGCGCACAGTGGAGCGGCGAGCAAAAAGACGAACATAGCAACGAGCCTAGCGCCCAAGGCCTTTCAATTATCATTTTTGTTACTCGACAGGTATTTTCTCATTTCGCAGAACTCTTTAGAGTAATTGTAATTGGAATTGTAATTTATTGCAGTCAAATGAAACAGACGTTCCTAACTGGCCGTCTCCACAGGATAAAATTTATTGCTGCCCAGCTGTCAACAGCGTGATGTTTGTATCAAGTGTACTATGTACGTACGTTTTTTGCACCTTGAAGGAAAACTGAGCATTTGGATCACCTGTTCCTGAAATTTGCATTAAATTTGAATGCGGGAGCAACTACATTACTGTCATTTCCAAAGTTGCCACTTTACAAGTGAATTCAAACTAAAGGATTTTATTAAAATAATATTAATCGAACGGGGTCTTGCACTATGGATTCAATTTTAGTATGGCTGTCTACAAAATAATCCATGACTTAACTTGAAAAGACGATTCCCATTCAACGGAACGAAAGAGTATAAAATTCCATCCTTTGGTTGAATTCTTCATAAACTTGGCATTTTTAATATAAAGTAGCTTAACAGAGAACTTAACAGTGGCAACACTGACCATTTCTAGTGAAAACAAAATCAAATTCACTTTATTTTTATTTTCTAGCATTTCTCCTTCGAAAAGATCTTGGAAAAACGTCTTAATAATCAACAATTTTTCATAAATATTATAATATTAATGACGCTTCTGTCTGCACTCATTTACAACAGTCGGAAGTGAAGTAATTGATAACAGGGAAAGCTCAACTTTCTAAATTCAAAGGAGAGTGGTTTTACAGCAATTTCACTTCCTTTGCACTAATCGCAAAGCGTTTAGAACGGGTAAGAGTATTGCAATTATTTCTACTGTGTTTATATTAACAATGGGAAAATATTGTTTGATATACATTCTAGTTATTATGGAGTTTACATTGGAAATATGGTTGTGGATAACGATTGCCGTTTTGGCGCATGTTGGTGTGTACGTGTTCGTGATGCGTAAGCGACCAAAAATGCTGGTTGGTCGTCATGTGGTTGTTACGGGTGGTTCACGCGGTATTGGACTTTGCCTGGCTGTGGAATGCGCAATGAAGGGAGCCAATGTAACCGTGATTGCACGCGATGAAAAACTACTGAGTAAGTTTTTGTAAGAACTATAGCATTCACTATATATGTATGTTTGTACAATGTTATAAAAAATAAGCAAGTTAATTAATCACTATTATGTTTAAAAGTTAAACTAACTAATTAAAAAAACGTCGTTCATTGGTACCATATGAGTGGTATCTTAACGTATTGGCTGCTTCAAAAATAGTTTTACAATTCTTATCTTATCTTTCTGTTTAGGTGGTGCTGTGGCGTTAATGGAAGTCATACGTCAAGTTCCTGAACAAAAATTTCAGTACCGTTGCTTAGATATTGCCTCTAATTATGACGAGGTCGCAAATGCTCTAGCTGAAATGGAAAAAGCGTTTGGAGATATCTATATGTTAGTCAATTGCGCTGGTATGGCGATTTGCGGCGTATACGAGGATGTATCTGTAGAGGATGCGCACAAGCTAATGGATGTAAATTACTGGGGAAGTTACAATTGCACACGCTATGTATTGCCAAAAATGAAGCAAGCGCGCGAAGGTATCATTGTGTTCACCTCATCGCTGGCAGCTCTGTTTGGCATTTATGGCTATGGACCTTATACCGCCTCAAAATACGCTGTGCGTGGCATGGCCGAGACGATCGCAATGGAAACGCGTCATCTGGGTATATTAGTCACACTAGCATTGCCAGCGGACACTAAAACGTCTGGTTTTGAAAACGAACAGAAAACCAAACCAAAGGAAACACAAATTATATCCGGTGGCGGAGGCTTGGCCGAACCGCAGCAAGTGGCAAAATGTATTCTTCACGATGCTTTGGTAAATTATAAATAAATAAGTTTTTAGTTTCATTCGATAAATTTCTCCTTTTTGTAGCGAGGTAATTTTATATCGATTTTGGGTGCTGAAAGCTGGTTCCTTACTCTACTAGGAGGTGGACTCTTCCGTTGGGGCGGTTTCTTTCAAAACATTATACATGCCCTTTTATTGGGTCCACTGCGAATTGTTGGGTGCTTTTTGCATTTGCATTTCGAACGGATCATCAAGAATTGTGCAAAAGAAAAGAAGGAATGATGGGGG